ATTTATAAATTGTTTAAATGAAAGGACAATTTAGTTAAATGAGTTTAAGGCGAAATAGTAAAATATGGAAGAAAATAAAGATTTATTTGAGGAATGGGAAAAAGAATACTAAAAGCTAAAAAAAAGGTAAAAATAAAAGAATAAAATTCAAGACAATTAGTTAGAAGCAGATGTTATAATAAAACCATTGAGAAAGAGAGCTGCTAAAGCTGATAACAAAGATTAGTAAGATAAGGAATGTAGAGCTGTCTAACAAATTAATACATAAAATTAAACTATAGATTATATCCTGACTGGCACATAGGTTGAACAAGTAGCAATAGATCAAAAGGATATTAAGTTTGAGCCAAATAAAAGTAAGCCTCGAAAAAATTTTGAAGTGGGAAAAAATGTTGTAAAAATTGAAGATGGAATGATCAAGTATGAATACACAAATTCCTTTAATATTCGAGTTAATAATTACATGAAGAAATCTCACTTGAGCAAGGATATGGAAAAATATATTCATTAATAGTAAATTGAAGAGCAAAATTAGTAGATAGAAAAATACAAAAGGTTGAGAAAAGATGGTCCATTCATTAAAGATGAAGAAGTTTTACTGTTTTGTGGGAATACACAAACTCAAAATGTACGAATTAAAAATGAAGGAGATACTTAGATAATTGTTGAAGCTGAGGATGATTGCCAAATTTCTAAAATAGATTATTCAAAAAGGCTACCAGATTTTACTAAAATACCTCACGAAGTAATTAAGGAAGAGTTATAGAAAAATGGATATAGAACCAGTAAATTTAAAAAGAGTGATTTCACAAGATTTATGATTGAGACTTGGCAATATAAAAAACAAGGAGTGATTCCTAAAAATTACTCTGAGGACAATTGAAGACTATTATTTAATCATCAAATAAAATTATAATAGAATATTTAGACTTTCTTTGAATGATTTAGCTTAGATGAGTGTGTAAAAGATTTGAATAAGCGTATAGAAAAATAAAACCGAACCATAAATTAAGATTGAACTTTCCTAGTATGTATTTCAATTTGAAAACTTTAATAAATCTGGCATATTAATTCGAAAAATTTATGCTCAACATTAATTACTTGGACACAGCGCTTTCACTTAAAATAAAACAAGTACTATCCAATCCAGAACTAGTTCACTTAAAGCTTTATCTTAGATTTAATATGAAATTTATAGATTCTGAGGCTGTAATTGAATTCCTTACATTGTTGAGGTAATTTGATAACATTCATAAGTTAGTATTTACTTAGCCAAAAAAAGAAATATTAGGAGCAAGTTTAGACATGAGTTATTTGCCTGTAAAATGCAATAAGATAGTGATATAGAATATTGAAGTATACTTCAGTAAAAGCCACTTAATTGTTTAATGTGATAACTTAATGCTAGATAATTGCTTAATTGATAAAGATTGTGGAGATAGTAGCAATGATGATTAAATGTATTCTTTTGAATTTGTAGATCTTAAGTATGATACCCTAATAATAAAAGGGATTATGGCTGATAATCATTCAATATTTCATCATGATAAACTAAAATGTTATGAAACTTTTCTCAATAATAAAGATTAATGAAAATAATTTCATGACCTGCAGCTTGAATGTAATTTATCATTTTCAAATCACAGATGTTAATACTTTTGTTATTTTAAAAAGATTACCTAATAATAGGATTTATCTGCCTTATGGGGTTTTGGGGTTTTGGGGTTTTGGGG